CGATAGACAGTATTCAGAAAAAGAGAGAGAGAAGAGGGGAGGAGTTGATCTTGCGAGAACTTCCGGGCGGGTGAGAATAGCCACTTTCCCTAGTTATTGAGTGATCTACTGTATGTTGGCCCTAAGTCTGAGTGCCTACTGCAGGAGAGATTCTTCTTGTTTCATTCATTGCATTGCTGATTGCTAGATTCTAGAATCTAGATATCTAGAGATCTAATATCTAGATCTAGCAGTAGGAGTTTCTGTCGGTCTACTGTGCAGACTGTCAATGCAAATTTTGGCTTTGGCCTCTTGGCTTGGGAAAAAATGATTTTTAACTCCTGATGTGATGTCTGGGCTCTGGCCTGGGTGTTGAGACCAATCAATAAAATTAAGGAAGAAGCTAGCCGTACTTAATATGAACTTTGTCTTCTTTGCGTGCAGGTGCCTCAGCCAGCACCCTGCAGGACATCAAAGTGCCGGAGAACTGCGGGGGCTACTCCTACATCGACAGTGGGCTGGCGGGCTCAAATGTCCGCAACCGATTCATTTATTGGTGAGAAGCCCATTTTACAATTTTGTTATAATTTAAAAGAATAGCAAAGATTGCATTGAAAGTTGCCTGCAATTTTTAAGTTTAGTTTTAGCTTTAACTGTAGGAGTATAATAGCTCTTGCAAGGCAAATTTTAGATCATAATGTGATTAGTTAGTTTAGTCCCCGGAATTTTGAATCATGAGTAAAGAATGTCTGCTTTTAAGATGAAGTCTATAAATCATAAAGAGAGAGACTTAACGATTAGTGAACTCATTTTTTTTTGTTCAGTGCTTCTTGGAATTTCAATCAATTCAATAAACAACAAGAAACGTTTTCATTTTTTCTATTCTTTATCAAATGGTCATTTAATTTTAGATTCTATAACAAAGAAGGTTTATTCTATCTCAGTTTGAAGAAAATGACACGCATGATCTTGTCGCAGGAGAACATACCAGGATGTACTTGAGCTGGTGGAAGAATCGCTCGATGCCACCTTATCTGGCAACATGGTCCGCTACAGATTCCAGGACACGCCGGTGCTGCCGAACGTCACCATCCATGAGATCCACGGCAATGTGGTCATCCTCATCGCAACCGTAGCCAGTGTGCATCGCTTGATCTTCCCTCACCCGAGGAAGCTGAATCGTCAGGTGATTTGTTTAAAACTCGCTCAGCCCTGAGCCGGAGATAGTTGGCTTGCGCACTTCTGCCCTGGGACCTGAACCCGACAGTGTCGGGATGAAAATTTGTACTACTTCATAACGTAAACACGCATCAAATAAGAACAGACTATACTTTATAAGTAACCCCCTGGCCATTTCTTTATAAGAAACACATTATTACAAGGGCAAAGGTCACTTTCTTGACCTACAATTGAAAATAACTTAGCACAAGGTAACGAAATGGGTTATAATGAGACCGTGGCTTGGTCTTTCATCCGAGCCACTTTTTAGTGCGTGTCGCTGACCTTTTTCAAATGAGAATATCTCACAGACTATCAAATATTTTCAAAATCTGAAAATGGTAATAGAAGTCCATGTAATGACTAAATAAATTTTGTGTGAAATATTGCGGTGATTGAAGGTGATTTGGGTTTTTTTTCTCTCACGCGGAGGCCGATTTCCGGCCCAAGGCGCAGCGGGCGATTGGCATTGCTACGTTAAGGAGCTTTAACTTCAAATCCTTTCAGAGTTTTAATGATAATTCTTTTTGAAAAAGTGGTGTTTCCCCCCTGTACTTTTTATTATTTCCAAAACAGGTAAGATTATTAAAGGTTCAATCACCTCTTTATATTCATATTTGCTATTAGAATGGTCTAACTCAACAGAGCCAATTTGGTCATCCGAGTTTAGGCATTACAAAACTTACAAAATACTCCGCTCATCCAATAAAATCTATTTGCATGAATTAAGCAACAAAATGAAAGGAAATGAACAATACAAGCTATGAAGACGTAGTTTGATATTGGATATCCGATGGTTTTTGTTTTGACTCGACTGATGCCTTGAGCCAGCTTACTCGGGCCCTCGCTATGTACTAAGCATGGGTCTCAATATTCCGCTATTCAGCGGATTTCTGCTACCGCCATTTTCTCCGCTAAACCACCACTTTCTGTACATAATCAAGAATGTAAATAACATTTGGTAAGTAACTTTTACTTGAATTGATCTTCTAAACCCTCAAATTGGTATGAAATAATTTTGTTTAGATGTATTGATGGTTTTTATTTCAGCATTCTAGGGTTAAACAGTAGTATACATGTAATAATAATGTGTGTCTCGAAAAAATGGTCTTTTGTCGCGATCACGCAGAAAGTTCCTCCTCTTTTAAAATTCTGAGCTGAGACCCATGCTAAGAGTGACACACTGACAAGCGTGTGTGTTGGTTTATTTCCCCAGCATAATTACGTCCTGTCGGAGCAGAATGCGGCCTCCATCTTCTACAACGCCGCCCTGCCGGACGACCCAAAGAACCAGTTTCTGCTGACGCCAGGGGGGAGCATCACCTCACACTTTCTGGGCAGCTCCAGCTGCGTGTGCCAGGACGACCACGCTGTTTTCACGCTGGCCACCAACACCGGGGGGATTCTGGTCATCAAGATGCCGCCGGTCGGCGTTGCGGGTGAGTGGTGGAAATGAGGGTGCTGTTGTGTTTGTCTTCGTGGGTGGTTGACGGGTGCTCTGGTGTGGTTTGCTTCTTCTTTCCTTTGAAAAATCTATCGTCCTTATCTCCCCTTTTTCTTTTTTTTTTTGTGTTTGTTACTCCCTTGTAACACCTCTAATCTTCTGGTGCTCATATGACCTTATGCAGTTGGGAACGCCGTAAAACCTCTACTAAAACTAAACTAAACTGTTTGCCTTCTTGGATTTTTTATACCGTTTAACACTTTGTGGTCACTTGGCGCAATAACGTGACAGTGAAAATGATCCGTTCCGTTCGCCTGGTGCAGTTCTGCGCCTGGCCCGAGAAATCCGTTGCAGTCGCTCTCCTGGCTGGGTGACCAGATGGGGTATTTTGTACTGCTGGCTGTGTGACTGCTAAGTGTTAAACACAGATTAATTAATTTCTGAGGGATTATGTCTACACCATTATTTTCACTTGCATCATCATCATCATCATCACTATCGTTTGTATTATCTGCAAAGGCATACAATAAAAAAAGATTTTTAAGTCATGCGATTCCAAGAAATCTTACTGTTTGCTTTTTTTTGGGTAAACTAATAACTGCCACGTTGATCCATTTTAGTCATAACTCACCAATGTTCAGCATAAATCGGTAACTTAATAAAAGGAGGAAAAAAAGATGATCTCTGTGCCAGATTGTTCAGTCAAGGTGGGAAGAAATGTTCCAAGTGGGTAGTTGGCGGGTGCTCTGGTGTGGTTTGCTTCTTCTTTCCTATCAAACATTTATTTTCCTGATCTCCCCTCCATCTTTTTTGTGTTTGTTGCTGTCTTGTAACACCTCTAAACTTCGGCACTTATATGACCATATTGTGTTGCAAGTGCCGTAAAACTCGTACAAAAACTAAAATGATGATTGTTGTAATAATCTTGCTGCTTCAGGTGTTGTAATCCAGCAAGAGCTGTCCTGTGCTTCGGTGATGAAGAAGTTGTGGAATGGACTCATCCCGGGCTCTATGAGGTAAGATTTTATTTTTTCACAGCTTCCCTCGTATTCAAGAACTAACATATGACCTTATCAGTTGCGAGCGCGTAAAAACTCGTACACACAAGAACTCACATCACTAAAAGTGTTCTCAAGTTCAAACAAGTAAAAGGTTAAGAATCCATATGCACACTGGCCAAAATAATCAATGATATTATATCATGTGTATTCCTTTCCTCCTCCTTCCCCCCGCCAGGAGCGGCCAACAAGTCAGCGAGACAGTTTTGAGCCTTCAGCTGATTCCTGTGGAGGATGACATCTACATTTTCTCCGTGTGTAAAGACGCCAGACTTCGAGTCTGGTCCATAAAGGTAGAGCCACTGCTTTCTTCATGAAAACTTCCCAGGTCGTATTTTCCCACTTTATTCATTCTCAGCCCCTAGTAAACTAGCAAGAACCATGACATTTTTTTTTTGCTCTAAAGCCAACAAAACAATGTACATATGATAGCCTTATCTCTGCTGAGTAACACAGTTTTTGAATTTTGACCATTCGTTCATAAATTTAAAAAAAGTTATGATTTTTTAAATGAATATTTTTTTGAGTGACTTTCATATAAGGAAAAAATCGTCCACATTTTTGGGTGTTTTGAGGCATTTTTTATCATAAATTCCGTAATAAACGGAATACATGAATGAAACTTGGCAGCCTATTGTAGTTTTTCCTGCAGAACCATATAGTATATCTATAAAGATATTTGATGTATCTGCAGCAGTTTTTAAAATATCAGGGGAAATGTGTCAAAAAATTTCATAAAAATTTTAGGCCAAGGACTTGCGGCCAACATTCAAACTCCTGCAACTTTTTTATTTTTAAAAATATATCTACGAAACTTGGCTACCTTTTGTATTTTTTCCTGCAGATTCCAAATCTGTTTTTGTTTGTTTGTATAAAAGGCTCTTTTATCACTGTGAGCGAAAATGTTGAAAAGGTACCCTGGGTATGTTACTAAAATGGGATATCCATTAACTTTTCTTGCAATATTTTTGTGTATAATTGTCTAACATAACATACCAGGTGTGCTCTGTTTACAGGCACCAAAAACAGATAGTGAAAGAAAGCAAACAAACATCTGAAATGGAACAGAAGACAAGAGAAAGTGTACTGACCATGTTAGGTTCATTTGAATTTTTCAAATTTTGCTTGAACCTCCTTAGCATTTGAAATACACCAGATGCGCCCCCCCCCCCCCCCAGAACGTGGTTGTGGCTCCAGCTCGGTGTCCACAACGCTTTTTTTTTTCCTATCTCCGTACCGGTACAAAATTGGTAGAAAATACTAGTAATCATACATAAAAAAGACACCTCAGTCACCAATTCTTTAGATTTAATCCATATTTTGTTCCTTGCTAACGAGAAAGTCATTCTATGAATTTATGTAAGCCACTATAACCAAATATACTACGCCCTACGATGTACTATCTTTGCTATAACTATGTAGTGTTATAATTCTTGTTCCTTGGCACGAAACTGACGAGTCCATGTAGATCTAGGTCGGGGGAATAACAGGATCGAGAGAACCGTCCACATCGATCGATAACACAAGAATGTGATCTCTCCTCCCCGATTTTTTTGTATGCAGAAAGTCTTTTTATTATATCCAAAGCAAATAAATTTCATGCAGGCTTGAAGATAAAGCCTAAAAAGTGCTTTTTAGCTTTTAGAAAGCCGAACTGGTGAAAAATGGTTTCCCCGTCTCTCTCGCGCAGTAGACTTTCCCCGACCTGTTTCTTTATGACGTCATGGAATTTTCAACTCGACGCCGGCGAGCCCGACCTACTCAGTGGAATGCCCGAATGCAGTCGAGTTTGGGTGGTGTTTTGCAATGGTACGCAAAAAGTATGCAACATACATTAATCAAATTTGAAGACAATAAAGGAAAAAGGTTGTCAACCAAGGTTGTGAAAAAGAAATCCAAAATTCCACCAAATCTGGTGTAGCCGAGTGCTCAAACTTCGGACACGAACAGCACCATAACCAAGTAACCTACGAGTTTTCTTTTTCGCATGTGACTAGTTTGACTTCTTTTCTCATTGGCTGCCAAGTTTCGCTTTCATCCATTGAGAAACAAGCCCGTACGAGTGAATGAAAATATGGCACCGTGAGAAAACGGGTCCGGTAAAACAAGCCCGCAGCGCCTATACGGGAGTCCCCGATTTCTGTCACACTCATCGGCGCTGCGTGGGCCTTGCTATAGTAAACATACGAGATGGAAGGATTTCATCGGGAGGGAGCATGGGTGGAATAATATGTTCCCCATACTTAGGTCAGGATGGTCACTCCTTGTCCGGGATGCTAGTTGTATTCAATCGCCCTTCCCTGCTCTTACAGTGAATTCTGCGTAAAAGAAGTTTAGTTATCACAATCTGGGAATGAAGATATTAGCCGAAACCATGTTTTTTGGTTTTGAGAAACTTCCCTTAATAATTAGGTGCTAAATCAAATGGAAGTACTCTCAAAGTCCTATTTCAAAGAGATAGCTCCGTAAAGTGTGTAACATTGTGGGCCAATACAATGCTTCAGAGCCGAACAGTCATCCAAAACTGAGGGATAAGTAAGTAAGTAGGTAGTTAAGTAAGTAAGTAGGTTGGTAAGTAAATAAGTAAGAAGTTGTTAAGTAAGTAAGTAGGTTGGTAAGTAAATAAGTAAGAAGTTGTTAAGTAAGTTGGTTGTTTAGTAAGTTAATAAGTAAGTAACAAGTAGTTAAGTAAGTAAACTAGTAAGTAGTTATTCCCACGGTTGTGTTTCAGACGCGCGACTGTGTGTTGGTGGAGAACCTGATGGACTACACGTGTGAGGAGCTGGAGGATGTGGACACTCCGGTCGTGGCCAATGGTAGGGAGTCTTGTCTCTGTGTGTATGTGGTGGTGGT